ATAATTAAAGGCACACTTCCACCTGCTTGTTCAAGTGCCACGGAGGATGGTGCCTTCGTATGTGTGCATATGTTGAAGTGCAACTCCTAGGATGTTAGGTTGCCCTGAAACCTGCTTATAGATAAAGTCAAAGGACAAAATAGACTGTAAATTGGTGAAAATGACCTTCAAACTGCAGGTCTTGTGTACATCTTCATGTAGTCTTTTTGGTTCTATCAAGTCCTTTGGAGCTACAAAGAAGGCTTTTTGAGGGTGAGAGATGAGAGTAGGGCACATGTGTCCTGCAATCATGAACTTATGAAGGTTGATTACAATGGTCAAAAGTTGCAGGCTCTTTGTGTTAACTACAGAAATTGTTTGTTTTTTATTTGTGTAGTAGCAAGAAGTTCCTACAGAGCTTTCACAACTTTTCACATCAGATAAGAAAACTAGCTTTTGGCATAAGGGCGTTCCAATTAATTTTATATTTAAACATTATAATTCTTAATATGTACATGTCTCTCAAGTACCACAAACACTATTGGTACCTCTTTAGAAAAAGACCATGACTCAGATGCAATAAACTAACAAGTGCATATGAGATACAAATACACTGCAGAGTGGGAATAAAACAAATAATGAGTTTTAAGATGCTAGAGCACTCTTGCCTGCTGCCTGTATCATTCCAGTAATTTACTCCTTTGTTTCTTAATAAACATTCCAATCCATAGAAGTAAAGTTCTCAAAACCACCTATCAGCACCTTCTCTGGACCAACATGCAGCATATAGATGGAAATCCTAGGCCACACATTAGCACATGAGTAGCAGTATCTCAGTGTACAGTAAATATGAAGTATGCAGCTCACCAAAAATGTATATTTTTATGTTTACAAGTTAGTGTTTTTTTTCTTGTGACCTAAAAGTTTTATTTTTCCTTCAAACTGGAAACCTCAAATCCTGAGAGCTCTAATATTAACAGTTGTGCTACAGCAGATGCCTTGGTGGCAGTTCATTTTAGCAATTCCTCACCACATCTCAGGAAGTTTTTTTAAGAAGTTTTTTTAATTGAATGTATTCCTGCTTGTCCTCCTTTCAAAATGATCAAATAATTACCAAAATGGATGAAGACCCAAGGCCAGAGCAGTCAAATGGTATTAAGTTTCATTGTGTGCATGGTGTGCACACATGCATCTGTGTGTATATACACAGACAAGGTTCTCACTTTTACAGACATCCCCCCAGAAGTAATGCAAGCCAAAACCCACAACTATTGGGAAAAAGTGATGAAAAGGGCCATTGGAAATATAGTAAAAAATAACATTTCTCAGTACTAAAGTAATATTCACGTTGAATTTGGGTACTCCGTTCCCAGTGGCTAGTTCTATACAGCAAAGTGGATATTTGGAACAATTATGTAGATAAAGCAAGCCAAAGAAACAATCTAAAATACCCATAGATTTGATGCAAAGCTGCAGGGGTTAGGGTTGGAGGCAGCTGACAAGTAGGTATGAAGAGGTTATTTAAATGATCTAAACAATTATATCAACTTATATTGGCTCTGTGTATACAAGCAATCTGTTTATTAGCACTGTTTTGAAAACTTGATTACCAAAATAATATCAATGTTTCTTGTGTACTTTTAAACAGAAAACAATGTCTGCCTAACTTCAAGCACCTTTTACCTGGTGGTTCAACAAACCAAGGTCTGGGCAACTTAAACTGTTAGTCAAAACACCACTTGAGTCTCACCCACAAAGTAATATGAACATCAAATTGTTATATTTTCTGGCCAAGTATCAACTCATATTTTTCACTGAAATTCTCAGTGAAGTTTGCAGGGGAGAGTTTTCACTGCCATAAGAACTATAAAGTTCTTATTGAAAAGGTATTTATTATTTAAGGCATTCAAAAGGTAGAGGACTTTTTTTTACATTCTTTAATCAAATTGCAGACAGATGTTTGGATATTTTGGACTTAGCCGAGATAGCCTACATTAGGTCAGAGTAGAATGAAAAATGACTATGGAAGGAAGAAAGAACTGGAAATTTTCCAGTATTCCCATGTAAATGGACAGAAGTATAACTTGAAGCATTTATATCCCTGTAAAATTTTGCATCTTCCTAAAGTAATGATTTTGAATTTGGGACCTTTTCTCTGTCTTTGTACTCCACTGGACTTAAAGCTATAAGTGGAGGAGATTCCTGAATAATGGTCATTTTTTAATATAATTGAAACATTTTCTTTGTATTAGCATTACCCTTACTAATTATCAGGGCAATTTTAATGTAATTAAACAAATGAATGCATGTGTCTAGAAGTGATAAGAAAGCCACCAGTAATGGAGGTGAACTGTGATATAGATATTTAGACAAATAGTAAATTATTTTTGTACCATTTATAATTATATTTTATTTTTGACCACTTTTTTAACTTTACGTTTAAATATGTCAGTCTGAGATTTGTGGAGTTCACAGCATTTTGGGTAAATGAACAAAAAGGTCTCTATAGTGGCCATTCCATTTTCATATATACATATAAAATAATAAACATCTTATTTCTGTGATCTTCAAGATTTGAGTTTATTTACTTGCTCTGTGACCTTGAGCAAGTCATCCTTCTCTGGGCCTCTTTTTTTCTATTTGTAAAATAAGAGTTTGTGATAGAAGCAATAGAGAAGCAATAGATCCCCTCTAAAGTTCTCTTTTAGCTCTAAAATTTTATGTTTTTAAACTTACTCTCATGTTGGTTCATACTTTCCCTAGGGTCAGAGGACATGTTTAAATTAAGCATTTGATTTGAAATACGTCTCTTGACAGTAGCTGATCCAGAGGTTAGAGGGGTGAACATAAATCTTTCCCTCCCTACTTTCTACTGAGTTAGAGCTAATAAAAACATTAGTGTCACCAACATGGAAGTTAGGGCAATAGCTGTTTAGCTTTAATAGCAAACTGGCTTAAACATAGGTAGGCCTAAACATAGCCAGTGAAGTTTGAAGTCCAAGTCCCAAAGATAATAACCCTAAGAAGATCTGAAAAGTATGCACTGTCCATGAAATATTTGCACTGGTTTCTTTCAGGAGTAGAGATTGGCTACTATGATCTATACATATTCTCTCTTTAGAGTGTAATAGAGAGGAGACTGGATTTTGGAGCATGGCTCTATATCTGGCTACCCTTGTTTTCTGTCAGACTGATAAAGTAACTGCCAGAACAAGGTTATACAAGTACATGCATTTGTGAGAAAGACATCTATTTTTCTTTTGATAGAATAGGGCCACGTATTGGTTTTTGGTGCCATCAATATGAATTAGGAATGTAGCCTAGGTTCTATTTATTATTCAAAGTAAATTTGATAATTGGGAAAGTTGATTCTATAACTTTAGAAACCTTCCTTCTGGAAAGTAACCTGTTATTGATGTCAAGGCTATTTATGATAGTCCCAGTTAGAGAAGCAGGAGGGCAGTGGGATTTGAGTAAATGGTCAGTTCAGATATGATTAAGGAATTATTTTGGGACCATTTATTGTCAAATGGGAATTAGTTCGAATAACAGAAACTACACTGTCAAAAGCTATTTTGGAGGCATGTTTGCATTGTTTGAAAATGCTTCATTTTGTCTCCTCATTATGGGGCAGTGAAGCTATAGACTGAGCTGTATCTGTTTGGGAAGGGAGAAAAAGCAGCTGACATTCATAGCAGCTTCTCCAAGTGAGTGGTGCTGGAGAGGTATGTAGGACTCTGTGGCCAGCCACAAAAACAAACAAGCAAATAAATAAATAAGTAAAAAACATATAAATTTTAAAAAGATAATGCTTCATTTCACTTATTTATACCAAAAAGTATGCACAGGAATTTAGTTGGATTCCCATTACAATTGACATTTACAAGAACAGTGTGACACCTAACTAGCTCTCTTACTTTTCTGAACTACATACTGTTAATTTAATCTCCAGGACCCAGACCTAGGGCTGTTTCAGGTTAAACTTGAGGATACCTTTGTGCTAATGTTCGTAAAAACCACCCTTGTTCAGCAGGTTATGTCTTGGCAGTTATAAGGTCTAACACGACCATATGCATCATGGACTTCATTTTCTTAACTTGGAACTTTGTATTCTGATGAGGCCCTCTTATGCCATGGAAAATAATATGTTGAGATGTATAAATGCAGATTTCCTTGAAGACAGTAGAATTTTGACCATGTGTATAGTTCCATGAAATCACTAGGATTATATTATGTATATAACATAAGTTTACACATGCAATCGCATTGGCTCCCAGTGAATATTAAAACTGCAACCAGAATCAGGTGATCTAGACCTGAAATTGTTTTGTGGTGGTTCTTCTTTTTTTTTTTTGTTTTTTTTGTTTGTTTGTTTGTTTTTATCAGCAATTAATTAAAATGAAGAGGCTCTTTTCAGATTTTGACAACAAGATGTCATTTTTCTGATAAAAAATATTTTCAAATCCAGTCCTTTACCTTAGAAATACTTTTCAGTAGCAATGATGATTAAAACTATCAAAAGTAGATAGGACCCTATATATATACCAGCTAATTATTTTTTCTTGCCAATGTATGAGATGTAGTAACTTGATTACAGTGCAGTAGATGTTTTTGAAAACAGCACACATCCTAAATATTGATCTCAGTACTATCAAATTTTAAAATGTAGTAAGTTAACTGAAATACACAAACACAAGAAAGGAATTCACTAACTTATTAGATATAACATATACTATGGGGTAGATACTCATTGGCACGCATCAGGAAACTCACACATCTTTAAGAAACAAACAACAGCCCCCACGATAAGGAGAAGTTGTAGTGTTTAAAAAAGAAAACAAAAAGGCCAATTATACCTAGAAACCACTATCTGACAATACTTTGCAGGTTGTTCAGGCTCCCTTTGATGCTGCTCATTGAACCAAAATGGGCAGCATGGAGCACTGAAGGGTAACAGAGAGAGGCATGTTTGTTTGCCTTATCTGATAGCTGCTGGGGACGGCTAAGCATAATCCTCAGCCCTGTGGGGAAATGGTGTGGAGATCCTGAGGAAGGTCAGGAACCTGTACGGCAGCAACAGTAGCAAACTGGCACCAGGAGCTTCAAGGAAGCAAGGGTAAGAAAAAGCAAAGCCAAAGGGTTAAGCACCCGACTGCATGTCTGCTGATTAGGGGCACACACCCCTTCAGTTGGTTGTCAAATGGACTTAGTGTTTATAGGTATACAAAGGCAAATAATAGTAATATAATAATAACAACAACAAGTGGAGAATGGGACTATAAAAGATGGTGAAAATAACAGGAGTTTTACTCTCCTTTCTAGGGGTGGGGCAGTGAGGGGATTATATTCTATGTCAATTCTGAGAGCAAGGAAATTACAAATTTTCGGCTGAGTTCCAGAACAGGTGATAGGGGCTTGACTTAGAGCCGGGTTGTAACTTGTTCTTCCTGTACATCACCCCATTTGTGCATGAGCAGGTCACAAGCCTCTCCCCAAGTTTCAAACACATCCTCTGAAGAGTCTAAAAGTTTAGAACTTGAGGAGCAGATGCTGGGTATGCAGTGAAGAGAGCTGGCACAGGCTAGAGGGCATTCACTGCTCTGAGCAGCTCCCCGGGCTTCACCTGATTCTACCTCACTGAGGTTAATTTCACTCTGAGAACAGGCCTGTGCTCTCCCTTTCTCCATCTCAGAATACCTGATGTCTTGCCACATATAGTGCTGCTGAACGATTCCATCAGAAATTGTGTACATTGGCTCTGAACTGGGTTCAGATGTATGACCATTAAACTTGGAGAATAGGAGACCCAGTTTCTTGAGAGAAGGACCCATGAAGGAGCGTTTGCTTGATGACTCAGCTTTTGACTTTCCTTGGGCACCACTGGCTCTTGGCCTGGTTCTGATGAGAGGTGGCTTGTGGCAGGCCTTTTTCTTGCAGCCTAAACTGAAAGAGACACTCTTGGATTTGGCCCGAGCCCCACCACTGCCATCATTGGTATCATCCCTGTGATAGAGTTCAGTGCTGCTGGTGGAAAAGCTTCTCCGTGGGTGTTTTCTATTTCCTAAAAGGTCAAGCACTTCATATCGAAAGCTGGAGATGTCCTGCTTTAATTCCTAGGGCAAGAGAGAAAGTACATTATGCTAAGGTGTGTGGTCTTTAGTGCAAAATAGGCACATTGGGTATTCTTTGCAATGTTCCAGGTTTTGCCTAATAGCAAATCACAAAGTATACACGAACGGCCAGGAAAATCTCACATTATTCCAGTACAAGAAAAACATTGCACTGTGGGCAGGGCTCTGGTCATTGGAAAAAATGTGCAATTGTTAAAGTTGATTTCAAAACCTCTGCATCAGGAGCACACCAACAGACTAACCCCCGCTAAAGCATTAACTAGCAATTAAGGAATTAGATTAGGGAACTAGCTCTCATAGGTATAAGCATCTGCAAATAAAAGGGCTCCTGAACAGGGAAAGCTTTTAGGACTCTAAGATTTAAAACTAAGGAAGTGGAATGTGTCAGGTAATGAGGCTGCTATTTTGGAAGAGGGGGCCCTGTTCTCCTTATCAGATATCTTCTATCTCTAACTGGCTGCTCAGATCTTAGATTGCTCCTTTTAAAAACTATCTTTTAAAAGCTTAAAACTCTTTAGTAACTTGTCACTGACCATAGAAAAAAGTAGAAACTCCATATCACACACTACAATTTTTCAAGGCCTGGTATCTACTTATCTCTCTGGTTTCATCCCTTCCTACTTTCCCCAGGCTCTTTACTGCCTACCTGTATGGACATAATCTCTCTTGCCTCTAGTTCTTGGCCTGTGTCTGTTTTCTCTGTCTAGAACACTCTGCTCCCCAACTTTCCTTTATCTGGCTCCTTCTTCAAGCCTTAGCTTAAAAACCTGCCCTGACTCCCCAAGTCCCAGTTGAGTGTCCCTCTTCCCTGTGTCTCTACAGCACTCTGTCAGAATACTCATTTATCAGCCTCTATTATTATTGTTTGTGTGTCACCTCATGAGAGTAGAGGCTAGCTATATCTTGCTCACCACTATACTTCAGCACCTAGTGGAGTGCTTGGCACATAGCAGGCCCTCAATAGATGGGTTATGTCTGTGGATTAGGAAAATGACTTTCCTATGTTCCTTAGAAAATATACATGTGTTCTAGGATAGGGTTTCTCAACCACTTGACATGCTCACCTGGATAATTCTTTGTTGTGGGGGCTCTCCTAAGCATCATAGGATGTTTTGTAGCAACCCTAGTCTCTACCCACTAGGTGCCAATAGCACACACATCCTAGTGTGACAACTAAAAATGTCTCCAAACATTGCCAGATGTGCCCTGGGGAACATAATTGCTCCAGCTTGAAAACCTCTGTTTCAGGCTAATGCTAGTATTGAGAGAATTTTAATGTTTAATGGTAGGATTTCTTAAATCTTAGATTTAATAATAGATTCTGTTGGTTTTTACCTTACATTTTTAAATAAAGAGAGCCTTTAAATCTCCAGGCATCTTCCCTTTGCTAACTTGCCCCTCATCACACATTCTTGCCACATCATTTAAAGCACTCAATTTCTACACTGAGAAATATCCAGAATATGAAAAGAATGCATATGGCAGATTCTTTTGTTCATAAAACTGATTGTGGTGACAGATATTGGTAAAATCTACCCATCCACTGGATGACATGTTATTCTAAGAGAGAGAATAAAAATTGTAGCTAGTTTTGCTGTAATATAGGCAGTTGAAATTCCATCACTAGAAACCTCACTGTGAAGATTAAATGATGCTTCAGAAATATGAAATGAAAAATTAAACCACTTCATGGTTAAGTTACCTTAAAATTTTCTTCTGTTAGTCCCTCATTTGTTTTAGAATTTCTTACCATAGCAGCCACATATCTTTTGACTAAATTCCTGATAACTTCCTGGAATTAAAAAAACAAACAAATAAGAAACGTGAAGAGGCATTTCCTTCTTGGGATCTCAGTAAAATAAGAAACATACACAGGAAATAAAATATGCTTAGATCTTCTTTGCAGTAGAAAATTCTCCCAGGATCCAGCTGTTTTCTGCAAAACCACAGTTAATTTCATTGGCTAAATGAAGAATTATTATGTGTCCAGTCAGGTGGCAGAGTAGGGCAGCAAGATCAAATTCACCTGAAAGGAAAATTTTCCACCCAAGGATAAGGTAAACAAGGATTCACATTTATGGAATGATGAGAGCAGAATAATCCTTGACTGCTCATAGTCTATATCCTTTCCAATCAGGCTGGATTAAACTTTGACCTGTGTAGTTAGTAAGATGACAGTTTTCCTTTTATGAAGTCAAGAAAGTCATTCTTCAGTGTCACAAAGTCTGCTGATTTCAATATTTACTAATTACACAATCAAGATATTTTTCTTAAAGTCAATCTCACTTCTCCTTTACAGAGATAACCTCTTTTTACTTAGCTCTCTGAGAATGGCACACACACGGTCACTATGCTTTGTATTAGTAATGGTAACAATAATAACTATCACTTACTGCAATGTGCCACACACACACACACACACACACACACACACTCATACATACATACTTATCATGCAATTCTCACAATAACACTGAGTTTTGCCCCCATTTTACAGGTAAGGAAACTGAGCCTCAGTGAAGTTAACTGACTTGTACAAGTTCACACAACTGACCAAGAGCTATTGTGCTTAGTCTCTGTGAGGAAGCTTTACCTGATAATGTTGATTCTGTATCAGGCTGTCAGCATGGCGTCCCTATAAGTAAAAATGGACAGAGATTTCATCAGCAGTCTCTAAGCAACCCATCTACCCAAATATTATTTCTAAATATTAGGACTAGAGAATGAAAGGAGTTCCTGCTTGACAAACCCCCAAAGATTTTAGGTTGGAATGATTTTAATATATTTAAGATAGGGAGTTTCACAAATGAGGAAAGGTAGGAAACAGTTTTGTTTAAAAAGAAACATAGCATGGCTGGCATGACTCAGCGGGAGATCGCCCTTAGATTCATGGTCAGGGCACATGCCCAGGTTGTGGGCTCGATCCCCAGCAGGAGGCGTGCAGGAGGCAGCCGATCAATGATTCATCATTGATGTTTCCCTCTCTCTCTCGCCCTCTCCCTTCCTCTCTCTGAAATCAATAAAGGCATATTTTTAAAAAGAAAAGAAAAGAAAAGAAAAAGAAACATAATTTTAAGAAGCCTTACTGTGAAGCTTCGCAAGTTGCGCCTTCTCCGTCTACCATCAGGGTCTCTTTTGGGGCAGAAGGTGTTATGAAACCAGTTGCCAAGATATAGAAATGACTTGGGACTGGGGATGATGTTGAAAGGAGGTGGCAAGGTACCCCCTTCATCAAAGTAACTCATCCAGAGCTTTGTCCTTGCAAATTTCCACTCAATATCTGCATGATCCTGTGAGAGATATTCAAGGATTCAGGACAGGGAACTCCAAAATGCACCCATGTCACAACCTAAAAGTTCTACCTGCTACTAGACGGGTATAAAAATTCAAATTGCACATACTCTGTGATTCAGTAATCCTACTTGGAGAAATTTATCTTATAAATATACTCATAAGATGTATGTACAAGGCTGTTCACTATAGCACTCTAGCTTGTTAATTGCAAAACATCTGGCAACAACCTAAATATCCATCAGTGGGAGACCAGTTAAATAAATGATGTTACATCCATAAAATGGCTTACAATATATAACTATTTAAAAATATCTATGAACATTTTATATATAGAACATGTATATGTCTATATTCATTTGTATGTATATTTATAAGACCTCTAATACCTCTAAATCAAAAAAGCAACATAAAGCACAATATATATTGTGTACAATGATCTCATTCATGCAACTGAAAAACCCTTTATGTTGCATGCTTACATGTCCCAGACAGATACATACTAAACTGTCAACAGTAGTTATTTTTAAGGAGTGGAATTGGTGTGGAGAGACTTTCTTTTAAAAAAATCATTATTGAAGTATGATTTACTCAGAGTAATATTCATCCATTTTAAGTATTTGATGAATTTTGACATATGTATATACCTGTGAAATCACTATCATAACCAAAACACACACACACACACACACACACACATTGGAGTTTTATTCTAGGAGTTTTTGAATGTATATGGACTGATATAACTACCACAATCAGGATAAAAAACCATTCTATCACCTGCCAAAATTCCATAGTGTTGCCCCTTTGGGATCAAACTTTCCCCAACCCCTAACCCCTGGCAACCACTGTTCCATTTTCCATCCCTATAGTTTCCCTTTTCCAAAGTGTCATATAAATGGAATCATACAGTAGGTAACCTTTTGAGACTGGTTTATTTCACTCAATATTATCTTTGAGATTCATCTACATTTTTGCATGTAGCACTAGTCCATTCTATTTTATTGCTGAGTAGTTTTCCATTATATGGATGTACCACAGATTGTTTATTCATTCATCCCTTGAAGAACATTTGGGTTAGTTCTAGTTTTTAGCAAGTATGAATAAAGCTGCTATGAACTTTCATGATAGGTTTTTGTGTGGGCATAAATTTAATATCTCTAACTTAAATATCTAGGAGTGGCATGGCTGAGTCACGTGGTAAGTACAAAGTTAACTTTATAATGAACTTCCAAATTGTTTTCTATAGTGGCTGGACTGTTTTTTCATTCCCAGTACCTGCTCTATATCTTCCTTAGCACTTGTACAAGTTTTTAAAGTTTAGTCATTCTAATAGATAAGTAATGAGCTTTCATTATGGTTTTAATTTGTATTTCTTAAATGGCCAATGATGTTGAGTATCTTTTCATATGCTTATTTATTGTCCATAGGGTGTCCCAAAAATGTACACACACACTTTGAATAGTTATAAAAGCAGTGTTTATTAAAATACATTTTATTTTCAGAATTGAGCTATCAGCTGTCAAAGTGTGTATACATTTTTGGGGGACACCTTGTATATATCCTCTGGGGTGACGGGTCTGTCCAGATCCTTTGCCTATTATTATTATTATTTTTTTCCTTGCTGGTGTATTTTGAGTTTTTAAGAAGTATATTATAGATACTAACTCTTTGTCAAAAATGCAAGTTGCAAATGTTTCCTCCAAGTCTGCATCTTGTCTTTCCATTTACTTAATGGTGACTTTCACAGAGCAAACTTTTAATTTCCATTAAGACAAATTTATCAAATTTTTAATGGATCATGCTTTGGTATTATATCTAAGACCTCTTTACCTAACCCAAGGTCATGAAGATATTTCTCTTATGTTTTCCTTTATAAGTTCCATAGTTATAAGATCTGCATTTAGTTCTATGATCCACTGTGAGTTAATTTTTGCATAAGATGTGAGGTTTACATTGAGGTTCTTTTTTCTTCTCCCCCCCCCCCATGGATGACCAATCATCATTTGCTGAAAAGGTTATTGTTCCTCTATTGAACTGCTTTTGTACCTTTGTCAAACATCAGTTAGACATGCTAGGACTACAGGAAATCTACATTCAAAAGAATGAAGTTGGACTCCTGCTTCACACCATATATAAAACTCAACTCAAAATGGATTAAAGAAATAAAATTTGAGAAATAAAAACTATAAAAGTATAAGGAGAAAGCTTAGGTGTAACTTTTTATGACCTCAGTTTCTTAGATATGATACCAAAAGCCAAGTGATAAAAGAAAAAATACTTAAATTGATCTTCATAAAACTTAAAATTATTGTACTTCAAAGAACGCCACAAAGAAAATGAAAAGACGACCCACAGACAAAGAACAATACAACTCAACAATAAAAATATAAACCGATTTAAAAATGGGCAAAATACTTGAATAGACATTTCCCCCAAAGACATACAAATGACCAATAAGCACATGAAAAGATGCTCAATATCATAGAGTGATTGAAACTGAAACCACAATGATATACAACTTCATATCCGCTAGGATGCATATAATAAAAAAAAGATAATAATCAGTGTTGGTGAAGATATGGAGAAATTAGACTCCTTACATACTGCTGCTGCGAATGTAAAATGGTGCAGCTGCTTTTGAAAACATTATGGTAATTCCTCCAATTGTTAAACATATAGTTACTATTTGACCTAGCAATTCCACTACAAGTTATATACCCAAGAAAAATAAAAACATATTCCATTCAAAAACTTGTAAACAAATGTTCATAGCAGCATTATTCATAATAGTCAAAGAAAGCATTTTGATTTTGACAAAGAATAGAATCATGTAGTGGGCCAAGTTAAAAACCATAGGCATCTTTTTGAGCTTAGGAGACCTTCTGGTGCCCCTCATTGCATCTACTCCACTTAGGTGAGGATATGACTTTCGATAAGCATTTTGAAAACAGCTTATGGACCCTAATTGCTACCATTCCATTCCCCTGGTGCTCAAGTTAGCTCAGGTTGGGAATTACTATGTAATAGTTTAGCAGAGAAGTTATTGCAAATTATCATCTCAACAGTCCTTTTCCATTCATTTATTATGTATCAGTTCATCATCCATCCATTCATTCTTTGATTCCTGTGTCAAGCGACTATCATATTCCAGGCACTCTGCTAGATACTGAGTATAGAGAGGTGACTGTCCAGTAGTGGCGGTGGGACTACCACACAGAACACAACTGGAGTACAGAAGTAATACCTGAATCCTGAAGACTGAGAAATAATATACCATGAGGCAGGATTAGTTGAACAGGTTGAGCTACAAAGTGATGAATAAGGTAAGCATTCATTCATTCATTCATTCATTCATTCATTCATTCAGCAAATACATATATGTTGAGTGCCTGCTGTACACTAGGTGTTAAAATTGAACCAGTGAATATGGTCAGGAAGGTGATTTGGTGTGTAGAAATCTGTTTTATTTTCAATCCTTGATCTAGTTTGAATGCCAGATTATGAATATGGCTTTTGTAGTTGTATGTCTCTAAAACTTCCCTAAAAATATTATGTCTAAGAGATTTTCATTCATTTGCATGGGGCTAGCCTTTCACCTTATATGATAGACAAATCAGATGTTAGCTTTGTGTTTGTTTTGGTTTTGTTTGTTGTTGTTTTCTTGCCTATTTTCAGTGTTTCCTTGTGATACCCTCTCCTACTCTCTGCCCTACCCTCTCTACCCAACTATGACTTTTGAACACTCTCCATGATCAGCCCTCGGCTGGGTGCTTTTGTGTAAGACATAACCTACACAATCATAGGCTATGGTCCTTCCTATTCCCAACTTTCTAAAAATTTTAGGACTTTTCTGCTACCATAATGTGCTTTTAACAGCACATAGCCTTACATGTGTATTCTAGTTTATGTGTGTTCCCTGCAATACCTTTGAGATTGTCAGGTCCTGTAGAGTAGGCCAGGGCTTCTATTTATTTTAACTACTTTCACAGTGCCAGTGTAAAGTACTATGACTATAGAGCATACCCTCAAATGTTGTTGACTTGCTCAGATTCTGAACACATGGCCATAGGTAGGTCAAATGAACATGCCTGTTCAATTTCACATTTCTCAATAAATTCAAGCTCAAGGTTATTTTCCTTACAATCAAATACAAGGCCAATTTCTTACCAGCTTTTGACAAATTTTTATATACTCTTTCAGATCTCTTGCCAGCAACCATCTTGCTCTAGCAAATTGGAAAGCTTTATAACATAAGGCAAAGGGAGTGTGGCAGGCACAGACAGAGCAGAGCAGAGCTAATAATAACCTTTAAAAAGAAAAGTTACTCCCAGGAATCTTGGGACTGATGGCAGGTTGGTTAGAGGGATATTTTGGGGAGGGGGACATTTTGGCATCTTTCACATTAATTAGTAGCAACACAAAATGCTCTGACATACACACCCAAAACTGAGGCAAGGTCATTAACTTCCCTGGCATTTTAAGGGAAGTCTACCTCACTTGTACTGCTTTCTTCTGGTAGAATTCAGAGTATGCTTCTCAAATGTTGGTGTGTATCAGAATCACATGAAGCATTTGTTTAACATGCAGATTTCTGGGCCCCACCAGATGTTATATATTGTATTATAGTTTTGCCTTAGAGCTAAAAATGCAATTTTTAAAGCATGTAAGTATTTAGAGTTGTTTCTCGGTATCCTTGGGGGATTAGTTCCAGGACACCCATCAGATACCAAAATCCAAGGATGCACAAGTCGCACATATAAAATGGCATAGAACAATGCATACAGTCAGCCCTCTGCATCCTTAGATCGAAAATAACATTTTCAATTCCTGGTTGGTTGATTCAGACCATGTAGAACCCACAGATATGGAGGGCTGACTGCATATTACAGTTTTTGTAACTTTGTTTTTGCTTTGATTCATTTAAAAGATACTATATAGAAATCTTCAAAATACAGAATTAGCCCAGGCCCCCTGCAACCTCTTGGTGGCCCTGAAG